CCACAACGCCTGGCCATTTTTTGGTTGCAGCCATCATTGTTGTTTTGGCGGGTCCGGGCTGGGGATTCGAACCCGCCACCCTAGGTGTACATGGCTGGCGCCTTAGCCGGTTGAGCCATAGGCGCCGAGCCCAGAAACCTTTTCTTACCAAAGCAAAGGAAAATTGTCAAGTCAATAAATCCCCAACAAGGGGCAGCACCTGTGGCTCAAAAGAGTAAGGCGCCGGCCCCATATGCTGGAGGTGGCAGGTTCAAACCCAGCCCTGGCCAAGAATTGCAAAAAAAGAAAAAAAAAAAAAACCAACAAGAAGTTGAATACTAGGATTATTCCCATTCTGCAGATCAGGAAACTGAGGCACAGAGGGATGAGGTCATTTGTTCAAGATCACCCAGCTCGTAAGTGATGGAGAAGGTATTTGAGCCCATAGGATGAGATCTGATAGCCTAAGTTCTAAACCATGACCTCTGAGGCCATCCTGTTTGTTAAATGTGGGAAGAGAAAGGGTGAAAGTGGTTTCTTGAGTCCCAATGGTGATGACCCAACCAAGGTCATTTCTTCCCCTGTCTTGACCATGTTCTCTGTGTGAGCTGGAAACCAAGTGTCTTCATTTGTAAAATGATATCATCTTAGTACTTATGCCACAGGGTTGTTGGGAGGATTTAAAGCTTTAGTCTTTGCAAATAGGACCTGGAATGTAGTAAGTGCTCATTAAATGTTAGCTATGTCTCTCACACCTCCTTGGGAGTCTGGCTAGTAACCCAGTGCTTTCATTCATTCTTTATTAATTCTATGACCAGGTAGAAGGCTTTCTGAGCTCCAGACCTTGCTATGTACAGGAAATAATTTTGCCTTTTTGACAATTTAACCCTCGAGGTCCTGCCTGAGAGTATCCCTTTCTAGGAAACCTTCCCTGATGACCTCAAGTTGTAGCATGACAGACAGAGCTCCTCCTGTTTCTTGTCCTGCCTCCATGAACTCTTGCTTTATTCTAGACTGACCTCCTTGAGGGGAGGACTCAGATTTGTCTGTTTCCCATTAGATCTTGAGCACCTAGCTCAGGACTCAGTACACACTGGGTGCTAAATAAGTATGTGAGAATGACACAGAGTAAATGCTCAGAAGAAAGGGCAAATGATTGAACGGATACCCTTTCCTACCCCACAGAATGACTTTCTCACTGGTGTGTTTCCTGCCAGCCCCCTCAGCTGGCTCTTCCTCTTCAGTACGATACAGCTCTCCTGGTTCCTCCAACTGGATCCTTCTTTAGGACTGATGGAGAAGATCAAAGAGTTGCTGCCAGACTGGTAAGGTCCCCTACTTCATCTCAGTAATCCCTTAGTCCCTTTCGCTCCACCCAGAAAGTTTCATTGTCAGTGTGGTGTGCCTGCTAACAGAAAGTAACTTCTGAGACTTCCTTTGGGTCAGATTAATGAAGGTATAGCATCAATAAAAAGTAGGTGATTTGGGGCGGCTCCTGTGGCTCATAAGTAGGGTGCTGGCCCCATATACCGAAGGTGGCGGGTTCAAACCTGGCCCCGACCAAATTGCAACAAAAAAATAGCCGGGCATTGTGGCGGGCGCCTGTAGTCCCAGCTACTCAGGAAGCAAGAGAATCACCTAAACCCAAGAGCTGGAGGTTGCTATGAGCTGTGACACCATGGCACTCTACTGAGGGTGACGAAGTGAGACTCTGTCTCAAAAAAAAAAAAAGTAGGTGATTTTTATTTCTTCTCTGTGCACATTTTCTTTTTCTTTTTTGAAACAGAGTCACACTTTGTTTCCCTAGGTCAATTGTAGTGGCATCGTTGCATTAACACCTCACTGAAACTTCAAACTCTTAGGCTTAAGCTATTATCCCGCCTCAGCCTCCTAAGAAGCTGGAAATACAGGCATCCCCCACAACACCCAGCTAATTTTTCTATTTTTAGTAGAGACAGGATCTCACTCTTCTTCAAGCCGGTCTAGAACTCCTGAGCTCAAGCAATCCTCTTGCATTGGCCTCCTAGAGTGCTAGGATTATAGGCATGAGCCACCACACCTGGCATGTTTTCCCTTGTCTTTTCTTTTTAGAAGATCTCACTCTGCTGCCCAGGCTAGAGTGCTATAGCTTCAACCTAGTTCACAGCAATCTCAAACTTCTGGGTTCAAGGCATCCTCCTGCCTCAGCCTCTTGAATAGCTGGGCCCACGGGAGCCGCCTTCGACACCTAGCTAATACTTCTAGTTTTAGTAGAGATGGGGTCTCACTCTTGCTCAGGCTGGTCTTGAACTTCTGAGCTCAAGGGATCCTCCTGCCTCGGCCTCTTAGAGTGCTGGGATTATAGGTGTGAGTCACTGCTGGCCCGACTGCATTATTGTTGTTATTACTGTCATCTTCAGGAAGGGTTTGAAAACCAGGTGCTCGTAACGTGGCAGGTACTAGTTCTTGGATTAGTCCTCCTGGGGAAGAAGGTTCACAATTTGTGCAAATGCCTCCAAAGGGCATACCCACAATCAGATATAGAAGTTTCTAGGAAGGCTCAGCGCCTATGGCTCAAGTGGCTAAGGTGCCAGCCACATACACCTACGGTGGCGAGTTTGAATCCAGCCCAGGCCCACCAAACAACAATGATGGCTGCAACCAAAAAATAGCCAGGGGTTGTGGCAGGTGCCTGTGGTCCCAGCTACTTGGAAGGCGGAGGCAGGAGACTCTGAGCCCAGGAGTTGGAGGTTGCTGTGAGCTGTGATGCCACAGCACTCTACCCAGGGGGACAGCTTGAGGCTCTGTCTCAAAAAAAAAAAAAAAAAGAAAGAAATTTCTAGGAAGGTTAGATTTACCCTTTACCCACCTTTACAGAGGGTAGGTGATGTGATCCTTATCTCCCAGATGAATTTTGTTGAAATGTCTGATTGCAACTTTGCAAACAAACATGGATTCAGTATAGTTTTAGACCAGTTTTCCTGAACTTGAGCTGCTTTTGGAATCATCTTGAGGTTGAGGTTGCTAAAACACTGATTGGGCCCCATCCCAAGAGGTTCTATGTCAGTAGGGCTGGATAGGACCCTGGGATATATATATTTTCAACAAGCTCCCAAGTGGTGGTACTAGGGCTCATCCAGGGGCCACACTTTGAGTAATAATTTGGTATCTTGGAGGTAAAAGTGTCCCTTCAATAAAAAGCATGGTTCCCAATTATTAAGCACCTACCAATTTCTTGGAAAGTGATTTTAGAAGCTTGGTGCCTGGGGGTGCCCAATGGTTAGAGTGACAGCCCCATGCACCGGGGGTGGCAGGTTCAGCCAGGGCCTACTAAACGAAAGAAAAAAAGAAGCTTGGTGCCGACATAGTAGTCCTAGGGGTAGGGGATATGGGGGTGTGTGACAGAGGTTCATACCTACTTTACAAATGAGGAAAATGGACTTTACTGACTCTAGTTCTACAAGATTTGTCTCCAACAGCCAAGGACCAGTGGAGGGGCTGGATGAGGCTTGAGGGGAAGGAGTTCTGAGGTTGGAGACCCAGGTCCAACCTCTACTTTCCCCCTAGGGGTATACGGCACCATGGGCTTCAAGGGGTCCTAGCAGCCGCGTTGTTTGCTTCGTGTTTGTGGGGAGCCCTGATCTTCACACTTCATGTGGCCCTGAGACTGCTTCTGTCCTACCATGGTTGGCTTCTTGAACCACAGGGAGCCATGTCCTCACCCACTAAGACCTGGATGGTATGTGGAGGGGCAGAGCCCTCATCAGGCTCTCCCAGCACCCACGTCTCTGTCCCCCTCTGCATTTTTTGCTTTCCCCTTCTCTAGGGTCTAGTTCTCCCTGTCTAGGTCTCTGTGTCCCTCTCTTTGGGCCTATGTCCCTTTCTCTCTGTGGTTTGCCCTCCCAGACACCTTGGTCCCTGGCCCCAGTGAGGTGTTTAATGACCCAGTACCTCCTCTCCCTTTCTCTCAGGCCCTGGTCCGCATCTTCTCTGGCCGCCACCCCATGCTCTTCAGTTACCAGCGCTCTTTGCCACGCCAGCCGGTGCCTTCGGTGCAGGACACCTTGCGCAAGGTGGGCCTGGTCGCTCTGGGATGGGGTGGGAGGTAGGCCAGGTGTGTAACCTAACCTCTTCTCTGCCATACCTTTTCAGTACCTGGAGTCAGTACAACCTGTCCTCTCAGACGAGGACTTCAACCGGACGATGGTCTTGGCGCAGGAATTCCTGAGGCTGCAGGCCTCGCTGCTCCAGTGGTACCTGTGGCTCAAGTCCTGGTGGGCGTCCAATTATGTGAGTCCCACCATGCTGCCAGGCCCCCTATGGAAGACAAAGTTCTGAGCCAGACATGCCTGAGTCTCGCCTCCAATCCACCCACCTCGGCCTTCCAGAGTACTAGGATTATAGGTGTGGCCACCGCATGACCCACGTATTTTATTTTGTTGGGCCTCTAGTCTTTTTCACTCAGCAGTATGTCTTGGCCCTCATTGTATGTCAGTGAGTAGAAATGTGCCTAGTGCTTCTAGTAGCTGTGTAATACTCCATAACTTTGAGAGTAGCATGGTTTAGCTGCTGATCCTCCTCCAATAGACTTCTAGATAGCTAGTCACTGACCGTGGTGGCCTCCTTCGTTGGCTTCACGCTCCCTGTATGACACAGGACAGATGGGAGGGCTGCCCTGTTCCACCACCCTTCTCCCATACAGGGTCCCAGCCTCCCCAGCTGTCCCAGCTGCCCCAGCTGTGTGTCTCTGCCTACTCCCAGGTCAGTGACTGGTGGGAGGAGTTTGTGTACCTGCGCTCCCGAAACCCGCTGATGGTGAACAGCAACTATTACATGATGGTGAGAAAGGGATAAGGGGGATTGGTCATAGCATCTGAGGCCTAGAGTTGGGATATCTGGGTAGATGTGGCATTTATGGCCAGTGACCTGCATCTGAGACCGTCTGGAATTCATTATCCCTCCCTCTTTTGGGGTTATGACCTGTAATTTGGGTCAGTTCCCCCATTAGAGGCAAACCTGACCCTCCGCGTTTTCCATCCCCTCTGCTGGCCCCAGGACTTCCTGTACGTCACACCTACGCCTCTCCAGGCTGCTAGAGCTGGAAATGCAGTCCATGCCCTCCTTCTGTACCGCCATCGCCTGAACCGACAGGAGATCCCCCCGGTAAGAGGGCTGCTGTGGACAGGAGACAAAGGTGTGGTCTTCTGGTGTTGGGGACACAGGGGTCCTGAAAGGCAGCTCATGAGCCCACGGTCTCCTGCAGACTTTGCTGATGGGAATGCGCCCTTTATGCTCTGCCCAGTATGAGAAGATATTCAACACCACACGGGTTCCAGGGGTCCAAAAAGGTGAGAACCCCCCCCACATACACACACACACACACACACACACACACACACACTGATAGAGGCAAAACAATACAGTGGCTAAGAGCATATTTTCTGGAGCTAGCCTGTCTGAGTTTGAATCTCAATTCTGCTTCCTAGCTATGTGACCTTGGGCAAGTTTTACCCTCTCTGAGCCTCAGTTTGCACATCTCTACAATGGGATACTAATGGCATCAGGTGAAGATTAAAAGGGTTCTTAGGGGCTGAGGCTCATGCCTGTAATCCTAGTACTCTGGGAGGCTGAGGCAGGCGGATTCCTTGGGCTGACATGAGTTTGAAACCAGCCTGAGCTAGAGCAAGATCTCATCTCTAAAAATAGCTGGGCATTGTGTTGGTCTCCTGTAGTCCTACTAGGAAGGCTGAGGCAAGAGAATCGCTTGAACCCAAGAGTTTGAGGTTGCTGTGAGCTGAGCTACCACAGTACTCTACCAAGGGTGACAAAGTGAGACTGTCTCCAAACAATAAATAAATAAAAGCATTCCTAGAACAGCTTAGGGCATGTAAGAAGTGTTTAATCAATGGTCATTATTCTTATAATATGTCTGGTCTTCCCTCTCCCATACTTCTGTCAATGCCACCTGTAGATTATATCCACCACCTCCATGACAGCCAACACGTGGCTGTCTTCCACCGGGGCCGATTCTTCCTTGTGGGGACCCATTCCCCAAATGGCCTGCTTTCCCCAAGGGCACTGGAGCAGCAGTTTCAGCGAATCCTGGAGGATTCTTCACCTGCCTGTCCCCATGAGGAACATCTGGCTGCCCTGACTGCTGCTCCCAGGTGAGGGTTGGAGGTCATGGCCACTCAGAGGCTGGCCAGCCATCCTAAGGCTGTGAAGGGTGGGTCAAGGTCAGGTGGAAGCTGGAGAGTGTGGACTCAGGTACATCCCTTGCCCAACAGGGGCATGTGGGCCGAGGTGCGGAGATCCCTGAAGACACAGGCAGCAGAGGCTCTGGAGGCAGTGGAAGGAGCTGCTTTCTTTGTGTCACTGGACTCTGAGCCTGCAGGGCTCACCAAGGAGGACCCAGCAGCTTCATTGGATGCCTATGCCCACCTCCTGCTGGCTGGCCGGGGTCATGACCGGTGAGTTAGCTCCAGGTCTGGGAGCCCAGACTTGAACCCCCAAAAGCCAGTGTCCAGACCTAGGACCCCTTGACACTAAACAACCAGACTCTGGAGCCCAGACCTTCGGAATTTCTAGATCCAGGGGCCATTTAGATCTAACGATCCCAGATCTGGAGACCTCTGCCTAGAGAACTCCTCCATCTAGGACCCCAGACCCATAATCCAGACCCAGGGATCTCAGATCTGAGGATGACCAAATCTCAGACTCAGAGAACCAAATCTCAACATGGGGACTTCAGAGTCAAAACTTAATGCAGGCACTGCAAACCTAGGCCCTATACCTGGATGCCAACAGCTAGAGATCCTCGGGCCACTTCTGGAGGTCTACTGCATATCACTCAGACTTCTTAGGTCCCAGGAGAGTCCTCATGACTTTCCAGCACCATCAAAAACCTTGGACTTTCCTCAGCAATTTTCCTTAAAACCTCTAAATTCTAAATCTTAGATATGTCTGGAGACTCCCCAAAGCCACCTCTCCTAGACGTCCTCACACAACACCCCAGCTGATTGTCACATCTCTCCACCTCAAAACACTCCCTGAAGTGCCACAGAAAGCACCTTGAGCCCCCCCCCCCCAGTGACTCCTCTGAATTTTCCCCAACAGCTGGTTTGACAAATCCTTCACCCTAATCGTCTTCTCCAACGGGAAGCTGGGCCTCAGCGTGGAGCACTCGTGGGCCGACTGCCCCATTTCAGGACACATGTGGGAGGTAGGGGAGCCAGCCCTCCTCCTCTTCTGGAGGCTCCCAACCCCCTTTCCAAAGACTGTCTTCCAGGGCCTGAGGCTCAGAGAGAAGCAGAGGCCAGCCCTGGGTCACCCAGCAAACAAAGGGGTCTGGGATGCTGACCTTGCTTTAATGAGTCGGTAATAGGGGCTCAGAGAAGGAAAGTAGCTTTCCTAGAGTTGCACAGTGAGGAGTTGCAAGTTGCAGAGTGAGAGTATGAACACAGACTGCTTTGATACCAGAGTGTGAGGCCTTCCCACCACATCACAGAGTCAGAAGCACTGTCTTCCAGCTCTATTTTGCTTTGTGTCCTTGGGCAAGTTACTTTCCTCCTCTGAGCCTCAATTTCCCCCATCATCAAATGAAAGAGTTGGAATTTCTGTTATCACTAAGCTTCTGTCCAGCCCTGCCCATCTCTATTTTCTCTACTTTCTTTCTTTAGTCTCTAAATCATAGGGGTCAATGGCAACACCCCCCATTGGGGCTGGGTAGGGGCCCCTAACCCAGGGTGGGCCCTGAGTGTATGAGGACAAGAAAAGCCCTTGCCAGATCTTGAGAATGACAACAGCCCCTCGTAAGCTTTGGCCCTTTGTTTGTTTGTTTGTAGTTTTTTTTGGCTGGGGCTGAGTTTGAACCCACCACCTCCAGTATATGGGGCTGGCGCCCTACTCCTTGAGCCACAAGCGCCACCTGTTTTGAGATAAGAGTCTCTGTCACCCTGGGTAGAGTGTGGTCACATCATAGCTATGAGCGAGAGAGATCAAATTCTTGGGCTCAAGAGATCCTCCTGAGACATCAGGTGTGGTAGCTCACTGCTATAATTCCAGCACTCTGGGAGGCTGAGGCAGGCAGATTGTTTGAGGTCCGGAGTTCCAGACCAGCCTGAGCCAGAGCAAGAGCGAGAGTCTCTAAAAAATAGCCAGGTGAGGTGGCGCCTGTGGCTCAAAGGAGTAGGGTGCTGGCCCCATATACCAGAGGTGTGTTCAAACCCGACTCCAGCCAAAAACTGGAAAAAAAAAAAAAAAAAAA